CGCGCCCACCAAAAAATTAACTCAAGGCATCAGAATCCGCCCCAGTGCTAAGGAGGTCCCGCGTTCGACCAATAAAAAACTGTTTTCAGGGTCAAATGTCAGTAATCCGGTAATTGGCCAATGTATTTAAAAAGACGAAGCTGGAGGACGCTTTGCAAAAGAGGATCCATGTTTGGTGGTGCTCCCTGAATGTTCACAGAAATAATCGGGAGAGCTCTTGATTGAATTATACAGAAGAAGCTGTTTTGCACGTCCGGTTTAAGTGCCAACTGACTGAAACCCGATCCCCCCTGGTCCTTTTGGCTATCCTTTGCTGTTTTGGCGGTAAGTGGAGACAGGCGTATCGGCGTAAGGTGGAAATCTGCCGTAGGCACATGAGGCTATTGTACAGTGGTATCCCGAGCAGCGTGTCTCGCTTAGCGTTGGAGGTGGTTCTCCGTGTGAATAACCTTCCTTTGAAACCGAAAATGGCTATTAATACTTTCTGGCTCCGTCTCCAATAGGTAGGCCTTCTCTAACCTGCCCGTGGCAACATTCGAGAAAAACTATGACAGACAAAGTTAAAGCCAGTGCCTCTTTCCTTCCTTCCCTCGCCCCAGCTGGCGCAGTTCCTGTCAGACTTTGTTAATGTCGCGTATTCGTGTAGGCAACCGAAACTCAATGATGTCAGAGTCCGAAAAGCCTGCCGGAGGGAACCTGCTTAACCAGCTTAACACCATAAGTGAGTAGGCATCCTTCTGCGAAGACAAATGGATATCTCTGCTTTTTTGCGTCATAAAATGTGTCAGCATTAAGCTCGGATACAAGAGCTTCCCTTAATGGAGCTCAATAGCTTCCTCACAGTCGGATGACGGGAATGCAAGGGGGTCGTTTTTATATATCCAGCCACGCATTCACTGGTCCGCGCAATCAATGCGTATGAGAAGATATGCACTGGTAATAAGTTATCCATATGGGCCCTGAACGATGGTATAGTTAGGTATACTCGTGTGGTGCAGGTTAAATTCTTCGACATGAACGCCCACCTTTTTTTGGCAACATCAGGTCTTCCGTCCGTCACGAAATCGGACAATAACACCCAGTTATTTTCAGGTTGAGGCATGGGATCAAAATAACATTTTATCATATATCCCCAGCTCTCGCAGAATCCAAACCCTATTCCCGTAGGCTCGTTCGAATACGCTGCAAGAGGGGGAGCAGCCATGATGGGTTCTGTCTGTTGGGTGCGGCGATAATTATCATCTCAAGTATGTCATAAGCCGATGGTATGTTCCTCTGGCATAGTATCCTCATCAGTAGATGAACGAGTCCCCGGAGCAGTGTTAACTCCAAACGTGTAGGCGATTGTACTGATAAAAGACCACGGATGTTACTGTTGTAAGAAAGCGACGTGCAGTATCATTGATTACCACTTGAAGATAGGCATCCACCAGCGCACTCTTAGGACGAAAATGTGATCTGCCCGTTGAGTTGACGGAAATGACCCTCCGGTAGTGGCACGCGGATACTGGTCGGAGGATTCAGTTGCGCTGCGCTTTCAGGGCCGATTAAATCATCCCCCAGAAAGGCGAATGGCCCCGTTTACCTTTTTTTCACACTATAAATGTAAACACGCTTACTCAGTCGGAGTTATATTCCACTTTAGTATTTCAACCCTGATTGCTACCAAAGCTATCCTCAAGTCATTGTATAACTAACTTCGGAGACGCATACGGGCACCGAGGATTTTGGGCTCGAACAACAGGCTTTGCGCGTCGTCTTTTAGATACAGAGATGCCGTGAATTTTGGCTGCAAACAGCCAGGTGTATGGTTTTACACTCTTCATGGGAATTGCTTTCTCCATATTGCCAACGATTGGTAGAGAATTCTGCGCTGCTTAGCACTGTGAGGACCATACCCGGACAGGATAGACTTCCTCGGGTTGATCGCACACACGAGGTAAGAAGGGGAAAACCCATAGATCGCAACGCGGCTATCCAATCAATACCAAGTACCTTTAATGTCGTGTTGGACAGAATCTTGATCAGACGCCGGTTCGCTTGTCGTTTCGTGTGAGCATGTGTCAACAGGAATGTGTACCGTGTAGCTGTTAGGATACTGTTTCGATACACTCCTTGCGGTATTTTCTCTGCATTTGCACCGTATCGGTCTACCGAGTAGCCGACCATGTCGGGCTGGGAGATGATAGCCGTAACGTTCAGATGCGGTGACCAGCTGTAGAATAGCAGGCACTGCGTGACCATTAATACTGACAGGTGAGTAAAGTAAGAATGAAAGAATTACTTCCGGTGCAGTTCTGCATAAACCCCAATTAGACTCCCATATTGATAGTCCACGTCATAGAAACTGGTTTTTTTATTAGGGATTGTTCCCACTATTGAGCCGTCGCTGTGTGTAAAGTCAGTCCAAAGGGAACTATGATGTATCCCCAACCTCTATTCTTGACTTACACTGTGTGTACATTACACACAGACAGTCATGGGCTCATGCATCCCGAAATTACGTTTGGCTCATATTTACATTGCGTAGTAACTCAGTGTGCCACAATCGTTACTATATTGTACATTTATATCCTTTCACTCTCGATCCTGACATAACTTGACGTTTCAAGCCATGCATCAGTATTCAGTTTCCCTTGACACGGCCCAAATATCCGGCACGCTACTTCAGCGGTATCTCTGAAATGGCAGCGAGGATTTTATTGCCTTTTGGAGTCAAAGTTGCACACCAGCCAACAGAAACAATTCGCAGTAAACTCTTCAAAGTAAAAGATAAACTTAGCAAAGAAGAAACTGGTGTGATTTATAAGATCTGCTGCCGAAACTGCGACAAATACTACGTGGGACAGACTGGGAGGAAGCTTGGCACAAGGCTACACGAACACAGCCTAGCCATACGTCGCCACGACCAGAACTCCCTGATGTCAGTGCATATGGATGCTGAAAACCATCAATTCGACCTAGAGCACGCCAGTATCCTCGGAAGGGCTAAAAGCCGGCAAGCACGTGAATTCATTGAAGCCTGGCATTCAAAAGAGAACTCGATCAATAAGCACTTGGACATTGAAGTCGCTTACGAGACACTTCGAACCAGGCCCCTGAAGCCGCACTGATGATGTTGCCTAGTCAGGCAACGAAACGTCTGCAAAATAATTATCCAGCTCGGAGAACTGCTCAAAATCCGCATCCACACCCCGAGCTACAGATATTCTCATTTATTTCAAAATGCCACTGTAATCAAATGAATCAAGGCCATTTGATTACAATGGGAATATTTGCTGTGTTGAAAAGCAGCATTGCCCGTGATTCCTTGAAAAATGCCACTCACCACAATTCCAACAAACACGTGGTGGTTTCTGTCTTGCGGTGTTATGGACATCTGTCGGTGTTCGGGTAGAAATTGAATCAACCATCGCGATCTCTGACATCAGTTGTCTCGACTGCAACATTTGTGAGTCACTTTTTAACTTGACCAGACGCTGACACTCTGCGGTGACTTCCTGAATGGTGAACTCTGGAGATGAGTCCGGTTTGGATAACAAATTTGTTCTGACTTCTGCGTCAGCTACAGCGGTCAAGCCAGATACAAAATGAGTGACTTGAACTGATCATCTATAGGTTGGTTAAACTTGCAACGTTCACATAAATGGTTCACTCTGCCCGCGTATGAAACATACTCATCGGATTGATTCTTAACTAGTTTTAAACACTGATAACGGATGTTGAAACTTGATGACCTTTCACCAAAAATGGAAATGCGAACATCTACAGTCTCCTGGAAATTGCACTCGCGGGAATGTTTCGGTAGAATGAAATTACAGTACTGATTGTGTTCATTTGCGCCCAGCTTCCGTAGCAGAAACTTTACTTTGGTTGTATCATCAAACGTGATCGCGTCTACCAGAAAGATTCTTCGTACCGCCTGTACCAGTTTGCAAATGTGATGTCGTTCTCTGCGTCCTATTAGAAATCTTGCATTCTGTTTGCTAACGTTCCAGCTGAAGTGGACTGGGTTTTCACTATGGTGGGTGTTAGATTTAGGGATGACAGTTTCTCAGTGAGTACTTGTACTAACAATGTCTGCCTTTGTTTTCTGTTGAAACATAGCCCGCTATTGCTGCTGAATGTAATCATGCTGCTGTTGTACCAATTGGGTTAGCTGCGAATGCGCAGCCATCTCCATCGCCAGTGTTATACTTGCGGTTAATGGGGCATCGAGCCGTCAGAACATATACTTTCACCGCACCGGACAGTGTATCGACCAGATCACAATTCATATGAAGCAGTCAAGAGCTGACAATATAGGTTAAATGTATGTCAGACAAGCGGTGGCCTGATGCATATGAACCACAGTAGACCATTGGGTGAGAGTGAAGTTCATGGTCAGGTGTGTGGGACGACACTATACTTTCGAGGCACCGGATCGCCTGATGTAACAGTTTCCTACCTCTAGCTAACGTGTTTAATCATGATGAAGGTCAAAACGTGTGTTTCCGGACCGATTATTTAGTGTTATTGCTTATGAGCACATTTTCTTCCATGCTTTCTACGACAGCATTACCAGTCAATTCAGGCAAAGGTGTTCTTTTCACTTGTTCGTGGAACACTCCAAGAGAGACCAGTCAGTGACATCGTAGTGAATGTGAAGAAGTTGACCAACAACCTTGGTCATATGTGTGCGACTGCTTCCCTACTACTGTAACTATTCGATTGGTCTCCATGGAAGGACTTACTGTATTTTCAGGCCTCTGTTACCATACTGACTGCATTGTCGGATATTGGAGTTCCCGCCGTCTTTGGATAGCGACACGCAATCTTCCATGTGGCTGCAGTGGACTTTGAAGTCAGCCTGTGCCGTTCCGGTTACTGGGACCAAATCCGAAGTGGAGGGTTTCGGTCTTCCTCTCTCCCAGGAGAGCAACACCGTAACTCTCACATACAGATTGCAGTTTTGACTTATTTCTCACACCGTTATTCAGTTTTTCTAGGCTTTGGCACCTATGCATCAGGGTAAATTGCTACGGTTCCCATCTTTCTTGGAATTGCTGCCTCATGTGTCTCCCTTTGGTCTCCGGACATGTATGTGCTTTCCGAATTCCAAAGAACTGCGATTGTTGAACAAATCATCACCAAACGTTTGGAATACGTTGTAGGTCCTTAGACTTGCTGCTGGAGCGATGCTCGTTAACATTGGGGCTAAAACCGGTTGCCTTCGACGCGAGAGCTACGAAGGAATTGCAACCCACCTCTCTGGTTTTCACTAGTTTTGTGGTGGCGGCAAACTGATGTCCATTCGTCATCAAATACTTGTTCTTTACCTAAGTTTTCTAGACCCTACTGCTGAATCACTAGGATTGCTCATCAGGAATCATGTTGATCCGATGTTATGATTAACCCCAGGGCAATGTTTACCTTATGTATTCCACTCTGAATATGCATTCTGAACCATGTATCTTGATCTCCGTCAAATCATCTGATGTTTCGCGTCTTTGGAGTATTACTGTACACGTGGTACCATTACATGGTTTAGCAGTTGCATTCCCTAGAGATAAGACTGTTCCAACACGAGTCTGCGCATAAGTCCACTTCTCTTGTAGACTCGACCAGATGTCATCTTTAGTTCGATTTCGCTTTTATACCTTTTACACTCTAGCCACAGCAGTCGTGTACCACCGCACGGCAACTATTGTCCCGTCGACTGTTTCCCTCTCTTTTGCTGATATTTGTCGGTGATCTCAGATCTCATAGTGCTCAGTCTTGAAGTTCTCATTCGGATCCTCTTCATTGACTTCATACCAGCTTTCTCGATAGTTGTCCATCGCTTTTTGGATAACGGGGACACTCCCGTTTCTCTTTTCACAGATCTTTGGAGCCAGTTACCAACACTCAATGTTCTCTTTTCTAGGGGTGTTCCAGTGTCCAACGTTTCCTCACTTCCATAGGATCCGATTCAATCAGAGAAGCTTGTCACTAACACGTGTTACTGTTAAGTGCGTCCTAATAGTGTCATTGTGAATGCTCTATCCTAGTCTGTGGGTTTGATTTTCCTTACTATACTACTTCCTGAATACTATTCGGTATTAGGCGATTAACCGGTTGTGGCAACCGTTCAGCCACATTTAAAGCGTACGCTTTTTTATTTCTCATTATGGTTAGTATCCCTGCGTTACGGAAACGGCGTGACCAGTACACCTTACTGAGACTTCGCTGACATGCAACCACCACCAGTCTTGCGTGGACTGAGGATACTACGTGAGTCGCCCGGTGCCCTACGCAGTCTCGAACTTGCGACCTTCAGATTGCAAAGCAGTCATATAACCCTTTCTGCCACGGACCGGCCGAAAGAGACAGAAAAAGCTAAGTAACTGTGCGTCCGGAGACATGAAACTTCATGTCGCTCTTTCGCCAACTAGTTTCCGTTGTTGCTGAGCCTCGCACCTGAATGCGCTTATACTATTGCCAAACCGTGCTCTCTTCAGTACCTGTATTTTGAGTCATTAGGTTGAAAGCTAATGGCGTACGGTATATCTTTCTTCATGAACTGGCCACTATTTCTGTTAAGTTATTTATTTGTCCAGCTGATGTATCAGGCTTTTTGGCCCATTCCGATACATGCACAGGAAAGACTGGATCGCGTTCTTTGCGACCTTGTTTTGTCCCGCTTTACAAAGAGCACTTTTGAAGGTATCCACAAACCATTCCGCCTGTCTGATTGCGCATGATAGGATGGTGAGAACATCTGCTGAATTCCTTTCTTCTTGCACCACTCGCGAAAGGAGGGTGAAGTGAATCGTGTACCGTTGTCTGTCACTATCATCTCTGACAGACCGAAATACTGGAACAGCTTATCCAGCTCTTTGGTCGAGTACTGGGCAGTCGTACTTTGCATCGGGATCACATCGGGCCATTTGGAGAAAGAGTCCACCATAGCGAGATAGGATTGACCGGTGATTGGTCCTACATAATCTAAGTGGATTCGTTGCCATTACTTCCTTGCTTTGGTCCAAGGTTACCAGGAGCACTTGGGATGGGCTTTCGCCGCCAGTTGGCAGGATTCACATTTTTGGCAGAATTCTTCGACTTCTGAATCCATTCCGGGCCAATAAACCAAACTGCGTGCCAAGGCTTTCATTCGGTTGGTACTTGGATGCCCGGTGTGAATCTTCTGTAAGACTTGCCTGTTCAATTTCTTTGGCACCACCACCCGGTCTGCAAACAACAAACAATTGTCCACAACGGACAGTGACCCACGTCGCTTGAAGAAAGCCGCAGGTCAGCAGGGATACCACCTTTTGGCCAACCTGTGCACGGAATGCATCACTTTCTCTAGGGTTCCGTCTCGGGAAGTCTCTGCGCGAATAGTTTCAGCTGTCACTGGTAAGCTGATATTATCGGTCAGGATTCGCCGTACTTCTGGTTCGAACCTGACGGATGCGATCACACAATCATCGTTCTCTTTTGGGCGCTAATTATGAGACGACACAGGGCATCCGCTTGGCCGATTTGTTGCGTAGGTCGTTACTGTATACTGAAATCGTACGCCAACCGTATACTCGCCCATCTTTGTAACCGATTCGCGGTAAAAACGGGAATTCCTTTCTCTGAGCCGTATGTCGACAGCAACCGTTTATGGTTAGTCAGGAGGGTGAAATGCCTACCATAGAGCATCTTGTGGAACCGCTTCATGTTGAAAACGATTGTGAGTGCTTCCTTTTCAACCCGACTATAGTACTTCTCAGCTGACCTTAGGGCCCGTGCCGTGTGTACAACAGCCTCCTCTCCTCCGTTCGGAAAAAACAGTAGAAAATAACAGCGCCGATACCGTAATTGGAAGCGTCCGAGGCAACGATGCTTTCCAAGTTCGGATTAAAAAGAGTCAATAGCAAATCAGAAGTGTGTGCTGTTTTAACTGCGTCAAAGGACTTCTGGCATTCACTCGTCCATTGCCAAACCTTATCTTTCGTCAGCAACTTGTTCAGCGAACCTCTGCTTTGATGCAAGTTTGGTAGGAAAACACTGTACTGATTCACGAGACCGAGGAATGAGCGAAGCTCTGCGACGTCTTTTGGAGGCTCCATCTGTTTGGTAGCTTCGATATTGGTGGGATCTGGGCGCCGACCATGTTGGTCTATGATAAACCCGAGGAATTTAATACTGTTTAACATGAATTCACATTTCTCAGCCTGTAAGCGAAATCCAGCTTCCTCCAAAAGTGAAAGCACTCTCTACAGTGTGTGCATCAAATCCTGCGGGTCTGCTCCTATGATCAGTGCATCATCCAGGTAGACCGCGTTATTGGGAATGTCGTTCAGCAGGGTATCCACAATTTGCTGGAAAGTGGTCTCTGCAGTTTTCCCCCCAAATGGCAGTCGGTTTTACTGGAAAAACCCTAAAGGGCGTATTAACCCTTCGTAATGTTCTGCACTCCTCGGCAACTGGAACTTGCAAGGTATCAGCTAGGTCAAGTTGTGCAAAACAATTGCCACTGTTGCGTTTAGAGCACAAGTCTTCTGGTACAGGCAATGGGTACTGATGCGTCTCCAGCGCAGAATTCAGTCCTTTTGAAAAATCAGCACAGATACGGACCTTAGCGTTCGCTTTCTTTACCACCACAATCGGTGTCGCCCATTCTGAATAGTGGACCCGTCCAGTTATACCTTCGAATTGCAAACGATTTAGCTCGGCTTCCACTAGAGATTGAGTTGCCTACGGCACCGGGCGCCTTGGTCTGAAGACTAGTTTGGAATCTGAATTAAAGTTCAGCTTTGTCCTGCCTTTGCGGCAGCATCCGAGACCGGGTTTGAACAAGATTTTATGGCGTCGCTTCAGATCTGCAACTTGGTTGCACTGTTCAAGATTCATCGTTGGCATCTGCCTAGCTTGCTTGACTTACAACTGCTGGTATATACTGTTTACCGACTGGTCGAGCAAGTTCAGCTCGTCCATCCAATCGAGTCCCAGCAAATTCAACCCCTCTTGGTCTGTCACAAAGCATGTTGTGTTGATTTGTTGGCCTCGGAAATTGACTCGATAGTTCAATTCACCAAGCACTTTCAACGTACCACCTGAAGCACTCCTTGCCGTATGGGTCGTTTGTACGAGTGTCGGCCGCCCCACCCTGCGCCACGTGTCACTAGAGATCAGCGTGATATCTGATGCCGTGTCAACTTGTAACTCGATTTGCCTGCCATTGCTTTCCACCATGGTGTACTTACGCCTGTTGACGCCCTCAACCTTGAAAGTCGCAATGCTCGTTCTGATCCCATCGGGCCGTTTGAACATTGTGACAGTGTTGTACTTCTTTCTGGACAAAGTAAGACCACGTGCCAAACAACACGACTCTTTATGACCTTGTTGTGTCGGAGCCCCCACTAACGGTAGTGAGAACACCAACGACCGGGCAACAAACAATGTTCACGCAGCACGCCAAACCGGCCACCAAGCGTCTGTCTGTCCAAAGCAATCGAATCTTTTAAATCACCGCATATACACAGGCTATGCGGAAAGGCTGGCATTTGATCAGCCAAGGCTGGTCAGTTCAAAAAGCGGGGGATCGATAAGTTGCCTCACGGGTTTCACGGGTTTGCGCAGAACGAGTAAGCGTAGCTTTTCGGTGGTTCTGCCTCTGGATCTTACGGCAGGGTCCTGATCTCGTCGGTAGGTACCAGATGTTGTGGGTCTCGACGCAGTAGTGTTCAGCACAAGAATTCAGCGAGTTGACTGTGGGAACGTGGATACCTGGAACAAGAGAGTGGTGTAGGTAAATTCGGTAAAGTTGGATAGAAGCAAAATGATAGAAGCGCCGCGTGTTAGCTTAGCAAATGGCCAGATCTTAGCAACGTGGAAGACCAGCGAGGTAAGAGCCAAGCGTCTAGGCGCAGTTTGAAGGCCTCCGTATTGGGCGCTGAGACAACAACTTCAGGGAGGGCGTTCCAAGCGAAGGCAATACGCACACTGAAACTGTTTCTTCGGCACAGAAGGCGACTGCTACGAGTCATCAGTTTGAGTGAGTGCCCTCGAAGATGATCTGTACGGGCGCGGACCAGCAATCCTGCGTTTGGGTGCCTGTTATTAGTCAGGACGGAATAAGCTAAGATAAGGTCGCCACGAAGCCTGCGATGTTTCAACGGGAAAAGGTTAAGGGCCGCCAGACGCTCCTCATACGAGAAGTGGGATAGTCCGTCCACTCTCTTAGTGGCTCTGCGCTGTACAGTTTCCAGCATGGCCTCGTCCTTCTTCAGGTACGGCGGCTGGACAAGTATGTTGTACTCCAGCAGCGGACGTACTAAAGTGCTATAGAGACGGAAAAATGTCTCTCTAGGGAAAGACCCTAGTGCGCGTCCAAGTAGGGCCAGGCGAACGCTAGCCTTTCGCGCCAGTGTAGCTACGTTGGCGCTCGGACTCAGGTCGGCGGATATTATGGTCCCCAGGTCGCGTTCCTGGGATGTGGCTTTAAGATGCACACCGCCGATATTGTACAGATTAGCCACACCTTGCCCAATGTGCATGACTTTGCACTTGTCGATGTTAAACGGGAGCGAATTTTTCGAGGCCCAAGAATAAGCAGCATCGATATCTGTCTGGAGAAGTGCCTGATCACTTGGCCTGCGGATAGGTCGCCATATCTTAGCGTCGTCCGCATAAAGCAGTATGTGGCTGCTGATACAGGATGGGAGGTCGTTGATGAACAAATTGAACAGCAGGGGCCCGAGGATGGATCCCTGGGGCACCCCGGTTGTTGCAGCCAGAGCGCTGGAGAGTGCGCCGTTTACACGAATTCGGTAGGTGCGGCCAGACAGGTAGGTACTTAGCCAGCAGATTGTTTGCTGGTCGATCCCCAAACTCGGCAGTTTACTCAACAGCAGTGCGTGATTGACCCGGTCGAATGCTTTTGAGAAATCCACGTAAACCACGTCAGTTGGAGTATGATTGTCTGCCTCTGCAGTCCAGGAATCAAGGGCTGCGAGAAGATTCGTGGTGCACGAGTGAGCCCTGCGGAACCCGTGCTGTTCCGGGGCTATTAAGGACAGACTTTCTAAATGGCAGCGCAAGAAATCGTCTATGATACTCTCCATTACTTTGGAGGCAGTGGGAAGCAGTGCTATCGGGCGATAATTAGAGGGGTTTGTCCTGTCACCACCCTTGTATATCGGCGTTATGACCCCTTGCTTCCAAGCATACGGGTATTCGGCACTGGTGTAGGAGCGGCTGTACAGTAAGGCAAGCGGCTCGGCCAGTACCGTAGCGCACTCACGTAGAAAAATGGGAGGGATCCCATCCAAACCCGGCGATTTGTCTGTCCTTAATTTTTTTAATTTCTCCAGGACTTTCTCTGATGTAAACTGCACGGGATGTCTGGCAGCGATGGGGGTAAAGTTAGCGCCTTCCGTTGTACTGCGTGCGAAGGTGCCAAAAACGGACTCGTACTGAGTCTTCAGCAATTCCGCAGCTTCTTTGTCCGACGTTGTGGTATTGCCTACGGGTCTGAGCAGGCTGCCAACGGCAGCGCGCGATTTAGTGAGAGACGCTATATGCTTAAAGAAGACCTTGGGGTTATCGGTGAAGCTTTTAGCGAGAGAGAGCTGGTACGCTTTTCTGTCCTGGCGAACAGCTGCTATACAGGAATTTCGCACTCTACAGTATTGTGCTCGCGAATCAGAGTCGCCAAAAAGTAAGAATCTGTCCCAGAGGGCCTTCTTCTCCCTGATCAGCCTAAGCGTAGCAGGCTGAAGTTGCCTGTGGCGTTCCGGCGCATAAGCGCGCACTGTGGGGACGTGTGCCCTAATTGCGTCGTGGATGTGAGCGGCGATGTAGTTCCAATGGTCGTCGACTGTGTGGGTTTGTGCTACCAGGGACCAGTCGACTCGTGAGAGGAAATCTTTGATCGCGTCACGAACCAATGAAATACACAAAATAAGAGAAAAAGCTAATAAGCCTAAGATTCAGTGTCCATACAAGCTAATCACAAATGTGAGGCAAAAGTGAACGTATGCGAGGAACCGGAAAAGTGGGCAGGGTGAGTGAGGCGAAACTCACAAAACAACGGGGAGCGATGGAGTATTCTTACCTCCGCTATAACAGGCCTCTTCTGCCGCATTGGTTGCAAATGTGATTTAACTGTACAGTGTCGAGCAAAATGTCGTTCTCTTCAAAACCAACAAGGAGAGGGAGGTTTGGAATGTGATGGGCCCGCGTGAGTTGGTGCTTTCTGGGGTGTTCGATTGACTGCACAAATAAGGCCATGCTCGTTCGTATTGGACAACTGCTGGATCATTGTATGTAGCTGGACATTTCACCGACTATTCCATTCCCCTTTTGGTCGTTAATTACGTTACCATCACTTGCTGTCTTAAGCTTTGATGTTTGGTCCATTTTCTTGCAATGCATACAGTTAGATTTCTTAGCATATCATTTATCAACAGTCTAAATCTCTTTGGCGCATTCCTTTTCTCGTTCGTATCGATCGACGCCTTTCGATATGTTGCTTTTCCTTGGTTGATTATCTCTTCACTCGATCAGACTGTCTCTTTTTCTTTGCTTTATGTAGTCCTCACGCTCAGTTCATGTTATCTCGTACTTGATGCTTCGGCTCTTTTCCACTTAACTTTTCGGCCCAAATAGATTCACTTTTACGATCGCACTCGGCTGGTGAGTATCTCTGAAACCGTGTTGCTGATGTGTTCGTTTCCCATCACCTTTCATGTACTCCTGTAAGGCTTATTTATTTCGTCTTCGCCTAGCTTCGGTGTTTGCATTCGTCGTTTTCGAACACAACTCCATCCCACTTTGTAATTGGAAATGGTGTGTTCTCATTTTTTCTTCCCTGTTGGTATTAATATGTAGCACCCATTTTTCACACAGTATTCTTGATGTACCTTGTTTACATCAATAGGAAATACCAGGTGCTCCGTTTCACCATCTGTTTTGCTCGCTTCCTATTTCGTGTAATGTTGTTTACCTTCTTGTTATCTGTAAATTTTCACAAATTATTATGAGTGGGGTTCACACTGATCCAGGTAACTCACGCTAACCACTTCACCCTTCCACTGTTGGCAAAGAAAGTCCTACGACTCTACCGTCATTCTCGACGCACAATTCAACAGGGTTACATTCTACTGTGTTTATTGCCATATACAACTCGGATTAATCTCTTACAGTTGATCGACTCATTCTCAACCTGACCCTGGGTTTACGCTAATCGACATGCCATGTAATCGGTGCTGTTTTGTTGCTCAAAACTACCCACATAACCAGGGTATCGACATCAAGAAGAGGAAAACTGGATTTGCTACGTATCAAATGCCTTGCTAGAGCCTTTGCTCCACTAGCTTTGGGTTTGTCTGATTAACAAGCGATGACGATTACATTTTTGTGGGATGCAAAGCTCGTTGATTGACCAACTAAGATCCATTAATACTCTTAACAATGCCTCTTATGAGACTCCAAGCTCTTTCGTACTCGTAGATTTTAAAAATAAGTTTAAGGCTATTGGAAGGTATCTTTCGTGTATTAATACATTGAACTCTCCGTATAAACTTGTTTGGTATGCTCGTCCATATCTCTCACATTTAACTTCTCAAAATGCTTTTCTTTCATATACGTCTTGTTCTTCTTTGGGACGCTAGGATGTCTGATAGTTACACGTTCACATAATACTGTGAATGGTCTATCCACTAATTTTTGCCATCCTCCTTTGCAATCCTGTGTTATTCCTTTGGTTAGAGTCAGAATGCATCTTTTCGTGTTCTTTGATCGTTCATTTGGGATGGAAAATCATCCTCGGCCGGCGAATGCTTTTTATTAGATGCATAAAAACGATCATTTTTATCTGCTTTTTACACTGTTTTCCTGTCTCGAATGGTTGTTATCTATAAATTGCAACAAGCACCATATGTAGCTATCCTCCTCTAATCGGTTGCAATTTTATGACCTCATGTTCTTCGGTCAGTGCACATTCACTGGTCACAAAAAGATGATGAAATTAAATTCTCTGTAAGTAGTAGTGAAACTCGTGATACTTATGGGCAGATTCGTTATGGTCAGACCCAGCCAAACAGCTGTCACCCATTCGAAAAAGTGTCTGATACCTGTTTCGTTCCTTTGCTGTGCGCACCATGGTACGATGGTTTGCGTGCATCAGCGATCCACTGAGCTGTGCTGGGTGGCGCTTTTCGTATCTTAAGTCACTCATACCAGATTGGTCAATAATTAGAGGCCAGACAAACAGCCTGCTGGTACTCCAGGTTGGGGGTTGGAGGGTGGGTGGCTTCTTATTTCTTAAAACGGACTCCTTGTAGTCCACTGCCAAACCCGCTGCCTTGCGGTTAGGTTTTTGCACTAAAGCCTTTACTTAAGTGCCCTGATCGTTTTCCTTTTAAGGCCTGGGCAACCTGACAGTATGCTGCCCACGCAATACAATACAATCACTCTATCGCAAAACAATTTCTCGATGTTCTGGCCATCGCAGAGGATAATAAACGACGTCCTATTTGCTACCTCGAGCTGGATGGATAGGTTTTTCGATGCTGCCGCGCAAGCCCTCCTCCTCTTACGCTTTTTCATCCTTATCGTCCCATTCCAGCTTCCGTTTTATCCCCTACTCGTTTTTAACCCCCAATTCTTGACCGTTCCCCACCTGGCATTCATAGACTTTTATTCTCTCGTTTCTTCTCACATTCAAATGCGGTGCATTCCTCCTGCTCTATCGACAAGCCCATCTCCAACCAAGTCGACAAGCCCAGTGCACCCTCTTCTATTTGGAGTCCTCAATCCTCCCATAAATTTCACGCTCAACTTTCGCACATTGTTAAAGATCGGTCAACAGGCAGTGCTTGCCAGAGTATCAGAGACCCTCTGGGTCGCTATCTGCTGCCTATCGGAAACCCACCTTCAAGTCGACCTCAGTGCTCACTTTGCGATCCGCTTCAGGTGACACCAGCAGTGCTATCTCACTGCGTCTATCCGGAGATGATGCAGCTTCGAGTGCTGGCCAAGGCGGTGTGGGTATTGCGCTGAGTCTCCGTGCTGAAGCTGCTCTGATTCATCCCAATCAGTAGCTGGATTTGTGCCCTCCGACTGCCTGGCCCGATCAAAGCGTCGAATTCGCACGGGGTCAAACGGTGAGTATTTGTCATCGTTGTCTACAAGTCCACAAATTGTAGGGATGATTCCGTGAAAGACGACTTATATCGTCAACTGGTCGAGCTCTTTCGTCACAAAAGAAGCACGGATATTGTGGTGCTGGCTAAGGATCTGACATGACGGCCACTCACTTCAAACCAGCCACGGACGCAAATCGTTTTCGCAATCCTTTGGATGAGTGTCTGACGACGCTCCCGTCTGCTGATTGACGTACCGTTGGAGTGGAGTATGCAGATAAATGCCAGGATTGGTTACCTGTATCATCCATATGTGCTTTTATGCAAAAGCTGGAAAGCTGGAGCCTTTTTACTTAAATCCTGTGATCAGTTTGTTTCGGTTATCCTACGAGATCGCTTTATGCCCTTTACTTGGTTATGAGCTACAAGTTGTGGTCGCTTATCAGGTGGCATTTCTTCTGTGGATGGCTGACGTTCGGAATATCGTTCAGCCACCAAAGTGGCCCGAAACCCTTCAAGCAATTCTGTAACGTCCTTAACAAGTTGCTGTTCATCTTCTGCCCGAAATTTATCATCAGTTCGACTGGGTTGGTTTTTTGCGATAAAACTGGGTAACTGGTTATAAAAATGTCGTTTAGGTTATCCTTTGCTGAATTTGACTCCTTCAACTTTGTATTACTCTGCTCTTTTATCCCATGTTTTTGGTTCTGGGTTACTGGGATTGTGTGCCGGTTTTGAGGTGTCATTATTACCTGTGCTGTTTTGCTGTTCCCTTCTGCAGAACGCTCCTGTTTAACTGCCTATGCCTTGATTTGTTTTCATCTGTCCACCGTTCCCCGCTGCGATGTGACGAGTATGCAAACAATTCACGTTGCATTCCGCACAGCATAACGTTCGCCCAGTTGTTCGCTACAGTCGTCCATCTAGTGTCCAGTGTTAATCAAGAGTTGCGCGCTAGCACTCCCTTGTCGATAGCACACTTTAAAAAGATGTGTTCTCCATTTTGTCGCTGCTCGTTGCCTCTCTTGACACATCTTCACTGGGTTTTTTACATTCTTGCTGTGCGGCGGCGTACAGTAGGACAGCCGCTTCCCCTTGTTTCAGCTTATTTTTGTTTTATTGTTTACATAGGCCTAATACGTTACTCAAACTCACGCACACACTTCGCCTTCTTTGTAAATACTCATGATGCAATTTTACAGATTCTGTTTACAATATATATATATATATATATATATATATATAACATTTGTTTCTCTAGCGTTTGAGAAACTTCCTAGACTAAGGACAGATCAGTATTTACAGAAATGATCATGCTCTTGCACAAATGTATACTGATGACAATTTTTAGCTTTTTAACTACATTTTGGTCCATCTTGGAACGTATCATCAAGTTACTTGTCGGATGAGAACATGGATGATACTATTTCTAGATTTAAGAATCCGTCGAGTTTGGTATAGAATGACGTAGGGTTTTCATATGCCCTGAATGCGGTTGATGGGCTGTTCTACAAGACGGCGTCTCTGACGAGGAAAAATTGGAGCGCCTGGTTGTTCTATCTCCTGGTATCCGTAGCGTACATTTTATGTCATGGAGTCTTCGATTGATCTCGTCTTAGCTCTAAATTGGGCATGTAAGAACGCGTTTTCTGTTGCAACAAATTGTGAGGGAGCACCAACTTTTGCTTTAGACATTACAAGCAGAGTCGCTGGATGTGAAGCTAATTGAAGCGTTCGCGGTGATTTAGAGTAGATGTGCTACGGAACAAACGTTAGGTGAGTGACCTCTGTAAATTTTCCATAGTTTTCCTCTCCAACTTCCGCATGCTGCCATAGATAGAGTTGCAGTATTCGAGAATAGGACGAATTTGGGCTATTGATCTCCCCCTCCGATGAGCAGAGTCGTCACGCCATTCTCGTTCTCGCCATGTTTTCAAACTTCTTTTCACAATTGCAAAAGATTTTATTATATACTCGTCTATATGACATTGTTGTCACTTTGTAGGCACGTAGTATTGGATTTTCCCCATTACTCACACCAAAACTCAATATTCGGCGGTAGTTTGAAAATTTTCCATATGTGTTTTCAACTTGGTTTCCCTTGGGTATTCGTCTATCTTTAATTCGTATCACTTAGATGAGTAATTTTCGTACATTTTCGTTGCCGCATCTGTTAGCTTCCGCTTGCTTGCCTACTGTAGCCGTCGTGGAATGTTGGCCTCTTCTCAATACGCTTGCATGGGGATTCGCGCAAACCTGAGCCATTTGTACGCCTTTATAACCAACTTTTGTCCCTTTCCATTTTATCTCAAGCGTTTTGGATACAGTTTTCCACTTCCTTCTGGTCTGGTACTACTGCACACTGACCATCCGCGAGCGTATCCTCATCGCCAATGGTTCCAGGATCAAAGGATGGTGGAACATTTACCATTTCATCTCTACCGCATGTGCTGGCATCATGCTGATCTGGTAAGCAGTTTGCGTTCTGTGTAAATACACGCTTTTACTTTGCCAAACGAGTGTATGCGCCTTATACCGGATTGGATCTGTATCTTCTGATAGTATGGTTCCAAATTTATTGACGACTGTCCTCTCTCCAAAGTTGGCCATTACGGGCCTTAATTTCAGCTCTATTGGCGTTGTCTCTCGGTGTATATCACATCCGTATCGATAATGGTGAGCGGTTGCTACACCTGTGTGAAGATGCTCGTCTCTTTCTCGCGAGCACCGACTTCCGACACAGCACCCGCAGTAGGGTTGCGTGGTGTCCACCCACCTCAAACCAGCCATGGACACAAATCGACCCCATCACGACCAGCTGCCGCTGGAGAGGATGTGTCCAAAACAGCTGTTCGATTTGAGACACGAGCATAGACTCCGACCACGCACTTGAATGTGCAGACCTGCGAGTACGTTTCTGCGGACGTCCTCAACGACGCTGTGTGGGCATAAATATTTACCAGCTGGCACTGCCAGATATTCTAAATAACGGGTCAAAGCACACTGTCATCCGAGTTGAGTAAGCGTCCACTGAATACAGTTGGAGATCAATGGTCACAATCCCGCCAGATTTTACTAGTCAGATCAGGTCTAGTCAAGCAGCAAACACGTCTTCAGGTGTCAAATCAAATTGGCAACCTGGACTTTGGGTCTTTACACAGTCTCTGAAACTACTGGATGCTCGTTGATGCGTTCCGGTGGGAAGCGAACACAATGAGACCTGCAAAAATCTCAGGGAAATACTGGGTGCTAACCTGAAGAGGGATCGCGGATACTGGTAGTCTCTTTGTGCATCGGAGGTGGAAACAGCCGCCGCCCTTGATAGCCATCGCAAGTTATTTCTTCTGATATGCGAAACGAGCAGCGAGAGACTTGGAGTCAGAGAGGCCATACTCGACAAGAGTGAACAGTCAATTCAAAGCCTACCACAACGCTTGGAACGTTGAGCTGAACACTATGAAAAGCAGTTTAGTCATCCATAGTTATCAGCTTCTCTACCAGCCATTGACCGCCCTTTTCCCTTGGATACACCCTCACACGCAGTAGTGGAGCGTGAGGTCAGGCCGTTGAAATTGAATAAGGCCGCAGGAGCAATTAGTCTTCCTTCGGTACTCTGCAAGTTTGACGGATCTACTCTCGCCTGCCTTGCCTTCAACCCTCATGTACAGTTGCGAAAACTGGCCCATCAGTTTGACAGACTTAAAGACACTTGTCACTTTCGATCATCGCTGCCTTTGTAACTCAGCCATTGCTGGTTGTAGCACCACATGAGCAATGAGCTTGTTGACTGTCATTTATTTGGTGCAAAAAAACTGAGTGAACCGTACGGCACCGTTAATTCACGCGCCAGGCTCCGGTGGCTGAGCCATCTCTTGCGCGTGCCATCCCACCGACTCCCGCGATATGCTTTGCTAGTCCGGCCGGGGTCTGGATAGAAGAGAAGGAGGGGAGATCAATCAATAACTTCGTCAAGAGGAATGAAAACCCTCACTTCGAAGTTGGCGTCGGTTGGTGTCTCCCGACTGCCGCGTTCGGGACCGAAGGACCTTAAACACATCTGTTTGGATACTCTAGTCGCCATGACGAATAGCGGACCGCCATGGCGTTCATGTTGTGACTTCCTTTGTCCCTCCCCTTTAGCTTCCTTATTTTACCACGTTCTCACGCTATCATATTGTGTTTTTGGTTTTATATTGTGTTCTGTAATGTCTCACAATTCTTTTTCATATATCTTTCGTGTATTGCTGTACATAAGCTGGAGCATATAATGATGCTGATGTTGCGGATGACTGTGGCCACAACATTACGGCCTGCTACCGTCGGACAGTATGTAACTGGCCTCAGTCAATTCATTTTGGGGCTGCTGTCATGCTACCTTGTGTGTTAGACTACTGATTCTAGGGCTAAAGGTGACTTCCCAATGACGAAATTCATCTCTCGCATTGGCCGATTGGTAGGATGAAGCTTTGTACAGTACTTTATTTTCAGTCTTCTGACATCTTCCTCTGATTTCCCATCACACACGTGTGTCCACTGAACGGAATCTCTCATTTCACTCTCAGTTTTCTAAGTCCTTACTCTACACCAGCGTGACCAATGGATGGGACTGACTTTCACTAGGCATGTCTTGACGCATACGTGTTGTGCTTCCAAAGCACCCATGCAATACGGCAACATTCTGACAAGCTGCCGCCCATGAGACTCAATGTACCAGCGGCGTTGAGATGTCTATTCTGAGGCAGAGGAATGAATCCACAGGATCGACCGGATGCACACGATTCGTCTTGGAAGGTTCATCAGAGTTGTGAGCCAACATGAGAATGCTTTGGGCCTATTCATCACTTTACCGTATTCTTCCACCGACTGCAGGTTTAAAACCCAAGGGTGAATCGTCCTCTACTATATTCTATTATCCCTGAGTGTGGATTTGTTGACCGTTGTTGGTGCTTACTTAGCCTACAGATGAGTTGAGTAATCCAGATGGGTTTCTGAAATAGCCTTTAATTTGTCTACCGTGTCAGTTGTTGTTCTATCGGGAATTCATTTTCAGTGTGCATGTCACTTTGAGACTGCACCTACTTCGAATTTTGGGGCTGTTAAGCTAATGATCGTCTTTGGCCACCAGCGCTTGTGGTATCTTGTTTATATCTGTCGACAACACTGGGTGATTAGTACTGAAGTCCGCAGGTTCGTGGAATGAAGGCCTTCGGTATCACACCGAGCCGTCTACTCAGCTTGAATCGATCCCCAGCATCACTGAGAGAATGCTCACCACTGACGAGGCCCAATGGGTCGAAACACGTCTGGTGTTTTTCCGGACTAGATTGCGCTACGTACTTTGTGAGCTACTGGAACGAAAACATTAAAATTACAGTTAAAAAATCCTCTTGCTCATTAGTAATACACTAATTAAGTCACGTCCCCCAACTGCCCACTGACCGCCTCCCTCGGGGTATATTGTATGCTGTCGCTCCACCTGGTTGGGCAGTTGTCACTTGTCACTCCTGTGCTCCGTGAGAACCACAAAATCTCCTATGGGAAACAGTGAAGCAGCAGTGTTTTGTGTAGTTATCCGTGACACGTTCACAGGCATCCCACTTTGACAGCCAACTGATTGCCAACTCTGGCTGATGGTGAAAAGTTTACCAACGTTGATCTCAGCCATGCATTTTCACAGATTGAACTCGACGAGCCTTCCAACAAACTTACCGTATTTTTCTGAGTATATGGCGCATTTAAAATCCTTATATTTGCCAAAAGATCGGCAGTGCGCCTTATATATGAATGGTTGTGCTGAGGCCTAGTGATACACTGCGCTAAAAAACCTGTCAAAATGTTTTATTTCGACTTTTATTGTCGATGCATAATCGTTGGTCAAGATTCTCCTGGAATCAGCTTTCTATGCTGTCTAGACAGACTTGTTTTGAGGGTGGCGAACTCTGTGCATGCGTTAACTTATTCGGGCTTTTCTGGCGACGATAAACCAACCAACTATTCGACCATCAACACTGGTATTCCATACTGTGATATATGTAATGCTTACTCCACCCGGCAAACTCACTTGGTCCTTGTAAACACGGTCCAAGACACCCACTGGTTGCAGGTGAATGTTTGAACACACGATCTGCGCTCACACCAGTGTTCCAAAGACGTGCGGTCATCCAGACAGTCGGCGACGCCCGTGTGAGCTTCACTCACATCATCGTCCAAACTGAGCTTTTCGGCTAGACAACTGGATCCTACGTCGTTGTGCGTGTACTACGGAGGGAGTAACAGCGCACTTACGGAGAAATGCGTGCTAACATACACTCTGGTCAACATATGAAGTCAAGCACGATAACATTTTTCAGCGCCAGTCGCATGCTGGCGATCAAGACGAAGCTTGTTCGCTTACCCCTACCACTTCCTGATATATACTGTGCTTCGACATACCGGTAATTCAGGCCCCCAAAATGACACCTGTTAAGAGGCATACCTAAGAAGCGGATTTCCAACTTAAGGCCATGAGCCACGCAGTACAACATAGGAATAGAGCAGCTGTGAAACAATTCAACATTAATAAATTAATAACACGGAAATGGAAGAAGCAAGAAGATGACCTGCACCAAGTAAACAAGACATAGAAGAGTTTCCGAGGGAACAACTCAAGATGGCCACAGTTGGAGGACAAAGTTGAGCAGTGGATCGCTGAACAGAGAGTAGCAGATAGAAGCATCTCCACAGTCTCCATTCGATTCAAGGCAATACCGATGGCACGTGATGCGAAGAGCAACGACTTTCAAGTAGGTCCTTCTTGGTGTTTCTGTTTTATGAATGGGCATCATCTCCGCATCCCACAAGAACTGCTACCTCGCAGCAACTGCCAAAGGATTACGAAAGTTGGCCATCTTTCGCACTTACTGCAGGTACAAGATTACCGAAATATGCACGATCTTCCTCTTAGCTTTGACTTCCCTGTGAACCGTACTTTTGAAAAAACAGGGACGTCTACTGTATCTATACGCACCACAGGGAACCTGAAATCACTGTATTTCTCGGTTGCCAGGCTAATGGCCAAAATCTACCACCCATGGTCATTTTTAAGCGGAAGACTTTGCCAAAAGAAAGTTTTCCTGTTGGGGTCATCGTCAAGGTCAACCCAAAAGGCTGGATGGACGAGGAGAAAATGAGCGAGTGGCTGAGAGAAGTTTACGTCAGGAGACCGGATGGCTTTTTCCACACATCTCCGTCCTTATTGATCTACGACTCCATGTGCGCCCATCTCACCGAAACTGTCAAACGCCAAGTGAAGAAAACTAATTCGGAGCTTGCTATCATTTCAGCAGGATTAACCAAAGCACTCCAACCGCTGGATATTGGTGTCAACAGGGGGTTCAAGGTTAACTTGTGAGCCGCGTGGGAGCATTTGATGACAGAAGGTGAGCACACATTTACCAAGCCAAAGAGGCAACGCCGGGCTAGTTATGCCA